TTTTTACGTGTTTTTCATTTTTAACAATATCTTTAAAACCATTATATCATTGAATATTTATTCAATTTTTATTTTGACTTAATTTCATCGTTAAATCTATTTAACAATTAATGTATTAATGTATTCAAAATCAATACATTTTATTCAATCGTAATATTATATATGAACTTATAATATATTCCTATTTTAATATACAATTTAAGCACTTTTTCGTACCATTTAATAAAATAATTGAATCTAACTTTTAATCAAGAGAGAGAGAGAGAGAGAGAGGTTGGGATAAATTGATGAATGCTGTGAAGGGATGTGAATGTAGTGTAAAGCGAGTGCCGAGAGATGTCTCTGAAGTGAAGCCACAATACAATACAGTATTGAACAGAGAGTTGTGTTGTGTTTGAAAATACGCACCAATTGTTAGTCAATCAGTAATCAAACGGTATTTTCATCGTTCACTCCAAACACTGACTCACAGTTTGAATGCATTCAACGATTATTTCGATGTTTTGATTGTTTTTATTATTGATTACGAAATACAAAACAATGAATGCATTGATCATCACATGAATGACCAGTCGTTGTCATTATGTCGTCCATTAGTGGCCAATAATTGACTCAATTTGTGTTTAATTCATACATTGAATGCAATGGAAGAGCAGAAAGACGTGAAGGATTTGATCCCAGGATTAGTACATCTCTCGGAACTGATTAAAGGTATGTCTGGATGTGATTGCGGTGATTGTCCTCCACATGTGTTGACACCAATTGTTTTGTAACGCAAACCACAGGTCGACTGTATTTGGCGACCGTTAGGCCGGGCGTCGCGCAGACACTGAAGAATAAATCGGATCCATTGGTCACCTATTTCTGTGTCGACGACCAACTCGTATACGAAGGGTATTATCACTCAATGTGTTTGCTTTGGATTGTCTTCTCATTGTCTCAATTGTGGCACAGGTTTGACGCAGACTTCGGGCCATTGAATGAGGCGCTGCTCTATAGATATTGTCTTAAACTTAATAAACTTCTTAAGGTATGAATGCTTTTGTTTTGCCGTTTGTTTGTCGATAATTGGTCTCAATTTATGTATGGATTTAATAAATGATTGCATTTGTGGTTAGTTTTGAAACAATGAGTGAACGAAAAGCTAATTAACTCTTTATTTGTTGGTTTGATTGAAACGAAAGTTAATTTCTGTCATTCAAAGTCAAAACCCACACTATTTTTGTGTTTAATTTTATTGATTGAATGGCAAAGAGTTGTGAGGAAGGAGTCCAGCGCTGGCACTGAACACATAGTTGTGTAGGTGTGAGACCTCCAGTCAAGGTCTGGACTCCAGACATATCACTCCTTCGGGTTGTGTTGCCATTTAGACAAACAATTCATTCAATTCATTACTTTTAATGACGTTTTTTAGTTATGATTTATTACTTTTTTTTCAATCATTTTTGTTTGCTTTTCAATTTTGGACAATAAATGGTTTGAAATAGTGTTTTATAAATGAATGCTTTGATTTGAGTACATTTTTCATCAGTGATGTGTACCTAACGATTGTAGAATGGCTTTCAATTTTGATTGTCTCATCATTTATTCAAACAAATTAAGGTTTTCTAAATTACCAATCATTTTGCACTGCAATACATGTATACTGTATTGTAATGTATAGTCAGATGTTTGCGTGTATTTGCTGTCCATTTAATAGCTAACACAAGTGGAGCTGTATTTGTGGCCTCAATCTAATTGAGATTATTAATACTAAATTCACTTTAACACCACTTTATAACAATTATTTCATATTTACATGTTATTATCGATGCATTAACATAATATCCCTTTCTTTATGATGTGCTGAGAATTAATCGCACCATTAATTAGTGTTATTTGAAATAATTTATAAAATAAACTAACTTATTTGTAAAACAGTTTGTTTTGCATGTAATTGACATTTATTGCAATTGAAACAAATGATTGGATATTGTATTGACTTCTAAATGGAGTTTGACATCAATTCAATCAATATTGATGTTTATTGAAAGGTATGAATGAGAATAGAATTGACTCAAACTATTCTCTAATTGTGGCGTAAATGACATTAAAGTTAAATATTTTGTTCATACTGTATAATTTATAGTAATTCCAGTATAAATAATTTTCATTTTTTGTTGTTGTTGAGAAAATTTCTCCACAAAATCAAGTGAATAACCATGCACATTCTGTATATGATGTTAATGGCAGATTTGTACCTAGGGTATCTGGGTATGATTTTGTGAAATTAAATAATGAATTCCATAAATGATCTAGGAGATTTATAAACAAGTCTGGAATGTAAAAAACAAATCTGAAATTTTATATTTACGTTTATAATAATATTGTCTAATCACGAAATAAATGAATATTTCTATGGAGCATTTAACTTCTTACAATTCAAATGTGGTTAAAATTTGGACCATTTTTGCAATCATTTCATTAAACTCTTTATACATGATTATAGAATTAAAAATATACAGTAATTGTAATTAAGATGTATTGATATAACAGTCAAACAAGA